TGGAAATCCACTATTTTGGTGGAAAAGTGAACACTTATCCTGGCCCGGGGAACACTTATTTTGGTGGAAAAGTGAACACTTATCCTGGCCGGGGAACACTTATTTTGGTGGGAAAGTGAACACTTATCTGGGCCCGGATAAGTGTTCACTTTTCCACCAACCCCCAGAAATAAGTGTTCCAAACCCTAGAAATAAGTGTTCAAAGCCACCAGAAATAAGTGTTCTAAGCCCCAGAAATAAGTGTTCAAAACCCCAGAAATAAGTGTTCTAAATCCCAGAAATAAGTGTTCTAAATCCCAGAAATAAGTGTTCTAAACCCCCAGAAATAAGTGTTCCAAACCCTAAAAACAAGTGTTCAAACCCCTAGAAATAAGTGTTCTAAATCCTAGAAATATGTGTTCAAAACCAGAGAAATAAGTGTTCTAAACCCTAGAGATATGTGTTCAAAACCTTTAAATTAAGTATTCAACACCATGTCTGAATGTCACCGAAATGACCCTACCCACACCTTCTAAAGAGAGGGCTCTTCTTACTGTTAGAGGAAGGGTCTAATATATATATGTATATAGAGACAGGGAAGATGCAAACTCGTCAACGTCTCGCGAGGCGATCCCTGGTTTCGGGTTGCAGGGGTCATGATACCTGATCTTGCACTGCGACCTATTTTTAGGTGGTGCTCCCGATCCAGGGTGTTTGTTTTCAAACAGGTGTTGTTTTTTGTGTTTCAGGATCTAGGAGTTAGGATTGAGGATTCAGCAGCATTTAGCGCTCAAAGCTTAGGGTTTCAGTACAATCGAAGCGACGGGCGCTTCAGGACATGTGCAAGTGCAGAAGAACAGAAGCCCCTTAACCCCAAAACCCTAAACCCTCAAGCTTGAACATGACTTCTAAATTCCAAACTGGACCTTAATAAAGCCTAATCTCCTCCTGAAGAAGCAACTAAGCCGTCATGCCTTCAGGCATCAACATGGATCGTAACGAGGGATCTGGAAAGAACTCTTCAAGGTTCGAGCTTTAGGCTAAACCCGCAAGCATACTGGCCTCGAGAGTTCACGATAGGATCCTTCATGCCTTACGTTAGGGTTTAGGGTTAAGGGGTTTAGGGGTTTGGGGGTAAAGGAAACCCTGAACCCTAACCTCCCAAAAAGTAAAGGAACTCCTTATGTACGGATGGCTCCTTTCTTCTCCTGACATAACATGTCTTGGGACCCGGCCATTCCGGCGTAGCCCTCGTCGCACTGCCACTCGCCATTCACCTTGATGTAGCCGTCGGTCCTGCTATGTCAGGATATGCAAACTTCAGAGAACAAGGGACGCTTGTATAGAAGCATCAAATCGGATCCTTGCGCTAAACCCGAACCGCCAAACCCTCAGCCGAATCCCTTGTCGGACGTGTAGTTGATGGGGAAAAGAAGAAGATGGGTTTCCTTGTTCTTTTTTTTTTGTGAGGTTTTGGCTTTGGATATTGTTTTGCTGGGCTTTGGGGTTTTCGCGGCCCTTCCTCGCGTGCACCCCTCCATGGATCTTCACTGCCGTCGAGTACCTGACGGGTTCGCTTAGAGCTCGGCAAAAACGACAACCCGCACACGGACCATGCGGAAGAGGCTGAAGATGGCTGAAGTCTTCAGCGAGATGGCTTTGGGTTTAGGGTTTAAGGGCCTCTTGGCCGGGAGAAGGGGGAGCGCCGCTCAGCTTCCGGAACCGCAAATAGCCACTTGGATATCTCTTTTCGCAGTGGCAAACGGAATTCACAAGCTCCCACAGCTTTAACCCCAAAAAGGATTCTAAATATGAACCCCAAAAAGGAACTACTATGGGGCCTATGGGTAACGACCACATCTCAGATGCTCACGTATCCACTATACTTGGGACCTTAGCCCTCGACCAAGCAGTTGCTCTAACCTCCGCCGCCACCAAGGGCCCTGAATGCTAAATGCTCAACCCTAAACCAACTCTAAAACCCTAAAACCCTAGAGCCCTAAACTCTAAGACCCGAAAAAAGCCTGAACCCTAAAACCCTAAACCCTAAAACCCTGAACCCTAAACTCTAAAACCCTAAACCCTAAACTCCAAAACCCTCAACCCTAAACCACTGCACCGTCGATCTGGTGCCTCCAAGGCAGCTGCCGGCCCCGGGGGTTCGGGGAATAAACAAGCTTCAAGTGCCTGTTCCTCCAATCACGAGGGTTAGACAGGCAGGGAATGTAGTTTTGTCCGATGATTATAGTAGACCATAGCACTTCAACCATGTGTTTTCCGCCTCTCATTTCGGGGACGGCGCAGGGTGTGGATGCTCCGGCTCAGGCTTTGCAAGGGCTTGTACACCATACGGTGCACCAAGTTTTAAGGATCTGGGTGGAGACTGCGCAGAGGGCTGATATTAGAGCGAAAAACTTCGATATTGGGTGACAGGAAGATTATTATTCATGTGGGTTGACGCTCCTGTCTTGAATGCTTTTAGTCATTAGGGTTCCCTTCAAGGCAGCCAAGATAGAAATCGTTCATGGCGTTAGACACCAAATTCATGAGGCAGAAGACTGAATAATTGGACATTCAAGTTGGCGGGCAGATATATAATGAGGGAATCCTGCAGAATCCTACCATTTCTTATTCCGCCCCTACATTACATGATGTGAATATATGTTTTGCTATTCTATTACATGAAATCATACCATACTTTCCTATTCTACTCTATGCTTTTTTCATACTATGTTACGTTATACAAATCACCCCAGGATCTGAAGGAACCTACCCGCGGACCGAACTCGTGGCGGCTCGACTCAGTCGGATCTGGACCTCTCAGTGGCTTCCGGGAATCAAAAATCCCACAAGGCTTTAGAGCTTAGGGGCTCCTCTAAGGGATCCTTTAAGGGTTTGGGGGTTCCGTTTATGAGGTCTTTCGTATAGGAAATCTAAAAAAAGGGCATGGTTTCAACACAGGTTGTGTTGAGTGAGCACTGGCAGCTCACTAGCATGCCTTTCTCTACGACTCGACGGCTACGTTAGATGCTGGTGTTTGTGCAGGTCCGCACTGCAAGCACATCGCCGAGTGCTTATGCTTCTCGATATGACATGACAGCGCGACAAGAGCTGCACCCAGACGAGCTACTTTCGCCACACGGGCTGAAAGACTACCGCACCGCCCCAAATTTGAAACTTACCCCGTAGTTGGATGTGGCAACTTCATGGTGACTAGACTAGCGTCGGTTTTTGGATTTCTGGAACACTTCTTCCGCCTTAGACGCGTAGGTATGTCCATTGGGGGAGGCACAGCCATCAGGCATGAGCAAACAAAGTTCAATCTGTGTTACCCGTGAAGATCCGTAGCGACAAAGCGAAGGTAAGTATGTATCACAGGCACGTGTATGCACTCGCAAATGCACACACAGCCGACCGACCTACCGACCGCACGGAGAGACAGACAGGCGCGCTGGCAAGCAGGCAGGCAGGCAGCAGCACACAGAATCACACAGACAAGTACATTCGCAAATCAGACGCGTGTGCCTGCACGCCTACACGCGCACACGCAAACCGTTCATTAGCTAACCAAATGTGTCGCTCATTAACCGCTTAAATGATCACTTCGTTGACTAAGTAGACCTTATCAAACCCTTATGAAAGCCCCCTTAAGGTCCTAGCAAAACCTGGCCGACAAGATCACAAACCCCTCTGAAACTCTTCAAACGCCTGTAAGGGCCTTCTAAATCCCAACCTTATAAAGCCCAGCAAACCCCGCTAGGCCGCGGGCAGGTGCACTGCGGAAGCGTGTGGTCGAGAACTGGGTCCGCCTGGCTTGTCCTGGGCTTGGGTCCGGTCGATTGCGGAATTCCACAAAGCACGATACTTACTTACATATATATATATATATATATATATTTATTTATTTATTTATTTATGTGTGTGTATGTGTGTATGTATGTATGTATGTATGTATGTATGTATGTATGTATGTATGTATGTTTGTATGTATGTATGTATGTATGTATGTATGTTTGTATGTATGTACATGTATGTATGTATGTATGTATGTATGTATGTATGTATGTATGTATAGAACAACAAATACACATATCAATACAAGTAGACATATAAATACACATATATTTGTATATGTATAGATACATATATATATATATATATATAGAAACGTATACCCAGTATGTATACCCAGTTTCTCGAAACCCTCAAGTTTTCCTGGGGTGCTTTGGGCTTCAAGGGGTGCACTTCAAGGGGTGCAGTGTAGGGTTTACCGTCGAGGTGCTCAAGTTCTGTCTTGTGAGGGTTCTTTCGAGCTCCGCCTTGCAGCTGTTCTGGAAAACCCTAAACCCTAAACCCCTAAACCCTACACCCTAAAACCCTAAACCCTAAACCCCTAAACCCTAAACCCCTAAACCCTAAACCCTAAACCCTAAACTGGAAAACGATAGAGGGCCTTGCACCCCTGTGCCTCAGTCCGCACAATCGAGCTTTTGGTTTTCAGTTTTAGGGTTTTGGGCTCAATTTCTTGAGGGCTTTCGGGTTTCCCCTGATCCCTAAACCCCTAAACCCCTATATAAACCCTAAACCAGCATCTTGTACTTCCAAGCGCTGTCGCCTTTAATTAGGATCAACCCGATCCCTGCAGACTCTAAGCTGCAGCCCCAGATCGCAGGCTTCGAACGCAGTTGGCTTTAGGGTTTAGGGTTAAAGTTCAAGGAGCTGCTAGATCTCAATGTACCCCAAACCCACATCCTCGAGCCCTCACCTCCACCCTCCGTTTGCTACATGGGCTTACATCATCAGGAGAAAAAGGTTTTCGGGGTGCCTCCACGCTTGTAGGTCGGTTAAAAGATTAAATTTTCTCGTGATTTACGACCTGAGCGCTCAGTTGCAGCTCCTGCGCCTTCTCTTGGGATTTAGGATGCAAAAGCACAAACCCTGAACCTAAATTCCGATTCTAACCCCCCAAACCCTAAACTATGAATCGATCCTAAACCCTAGACCCTAAACCCTAAACCGTCTAGACGCCTTGGCCCTGAACCCTTCTCGGCCCACAGGTGCGGGCCTGTTGATCGGGGGAGCCATCTCAGCACAGTAGGCCACTGTAGGACTGCCGATGTAAGGCGGCATCTGGGCACACACTGCGGTTGAGGGGTTAGGCTTTTTTATGGGTTGGGGTGGAGGGTTTAGGAAAATGTCATTTAGACAGGTTTGGGGTTCAGGGTTGAGGCTTTGGGGAATGGTAAAACCAACAGAAAAAGCGTTGGTAAGTGAGACTATTGAAACAGCAGCAGTTCAGATAGGCATGGGAGGTCCGGGAACTCGTGTCTGCAACAGTTCTATTGCCTATCTTCCGGCAGGAGGAGTCACCGAAACTCTAAACCCTAACCCTAAACCCTAAACCCTAAACCGTTACTAAAGAAGAGTGCGCAGCAAGGATCGCCACGATGCGGATAATAACACGCGAGGGAAAATGCTCATTTTGGATGGCACTGCCGCGAAAGCTGGTGTCTCTGAAATGTCCCCATAAGGGTTTAGGGTTTAGGGTTTAGGGTAGGCCACTGTAGGAAGACCCGATTGGTTCTTAGTAAGTTCTGAATAAGCAGCACATTAACTGCAGCAGCCATTCACAAGTGGGGATTTCGAGACAACCTGTAAGATACTTAATGCAAGGACCGCCCTGAATAAGGCAGCACGCCTCCGAGAAACGGAAAGCCTTGACAAGCGAGCACTCATGCCTAGTTTTGAGAAACTAACCCTAGCCCCTAAAGACCCTGCTTCAAGAATCAAACTCTCAAGCCTTTAATATGCAGTCTTGACATGTCTACCGGCTGCATACCATACGCCTAGACATTTGTAACCCGACACACGATCTAACAACCCTATATCCCCGCTTGCCCTGATCATCCCTTGGCACTACACCCGCTGCAATACTATGACCACCCCTTGTTCTACCCATAGGCCCCATAGTAGTTCCTTTTTGGGGTTCATATTTAGAATCCTATAAGGTAATCCCAAAAAGGAACTACTGTGGGGCCTATGGGTAGGTCCCCTGTTAGGTCAAAAAAGCCCCCGGCACAGCCGATCTCACAAAGGCGATCGGGCCTAGGCGTGGGGAGGATGGCCAAAGTAGGCTATGGTTTTACATCTCTGAGACTTTGGGGGTTATACAGGGGCCTCAATAATTAGGATATGGTTCTGGGGCCCATCGCGTACTGTAATTATACTGAGGAACCTCCAAAACAGTATAGGCAATTGTTTAGGCCCCTACATTACTTGAGTTCTTTACTCTCGCCGCGGCTGCTAAAACTGACCACCCCTGCGGTTTTGCTCCCTAATTTTCGGTTGACTGACAAAGCACCGGGGCTTTAGACATTTGATAGAGAGTTTGATGTGGGGCCTATAAACTTGGAATAAGGCGTTTTCTGACAGTTTGCTTCTTTGCTGCTGTGTCCCCAAACCGTGAAGACTGAGTTCCAAATGTCCAGTCTACACGCGACTCAGGGTTTGTGTTTTTGTTTTTAAAGAGCCTCTTTTGCTAGCCGCCCAAGCCTCCAGCAAAGCCCTTCAGGCAGGAGTAAGCTGGAATATTTCAACAGGGTTTGGGTTTCGGGTTCAGGGTAGATGTCGGGCGGCGATTTTTCTCAGACAAGGCTTAAGGCTTTAAGCTTTCGGGTGCTTTACTGCTCGGCGTGTAGGGATGCTCTTTTGACGATTTCTGGGGCCACAGTTGGCAGTTCGGGGATGAGGGATGAAGGCAAGACTAGTATTCTGGCAGAAGGGCTCGGAGCGACAATCACATTGTCATAACTTAGGGGCTGAGTACCCTAGCCCCAAAAAGGTTAACCTTTTGAATTATAGTAGGATTATAAGAGCCCCAAAAGGTTAAAGTTTACCTACTCAGCCACTAAGATTATGCAGGGTTCACAAGCATAGACCGAGTTACCTAAGGCATTACTGACGCTGCCATCCTTTGGCTGCTTTATGCCTCGGCTTCGGGGCCTGGTGGAGAGGTGTAGGAGTCGAAGAGTTGGTAAAAGCAGTCCCTTGCAGTTCCCGAATTTGAGCGATTACATGCTGGTAACTCTTTTCTAGCCCAGACGCTGTGTCTGTATATACCTTGATCTGTATCAAAACTTTGATGTAGACAGAGACCATAGAAACGGGTGGGGACTTCGACCGCACGACCCGCAGAATACTCGTCAATCGCATATCTGCAATCTGAGCACGCCTACACCCTAATTAAACCCGAAATCCCTATGCACCCCCGAAAACCTACAATCCCGAAACAGAGCTCATTGCTTTGGAGATGTGCAGAGGCGGTAGACCCCTTCAAGGCCCCGGTGAATGTTTTAACGCGTTAGACAAAATTTAAGCAACGAGACACACAAGAAGTGAAACGTTCGGGTGTGATACTGAGAACGCTTTCGTCTCCAAAGCATGCGAAGCAATCCCAAAATCCAGAAGGAAGCTCCGAAACCATAATTACTAACAACACCCAACCCCCCAAAACACCCATAAAACCCTGAAGACTTACCTCTCCCTACCAACCATAAAGCAGAGGGGGCGGCAAGAGCCCATCGCAGCCGGTCGCCTTTGCAAGCTCAGACTGTGACATATTTGGGATATAGGGTTAAGGGTTTAGGGTATATGGGTTCAGGGTTTCTTTTGGATGTTGAGGGCTCTACAGATTTTGGTAGTCGTCTACTCTTTCGGGTTTTAGGGCCTGATTTGAAGTACTTATCTATAAGATCTCTGTCAGGGCTTTGATTGTTTTGTAGGGCTTATGGGGGCTTGGGAAGCTCAACGTCTCTTAGAGTTGAGGGCTTTGGGTTTGGGGTGGGTCCCAACTATGAGTCGAATGTAACTACCACTGCTATGTGTGGGGCTTCCTTCTTATAGTTGTAGTACACTATACCCCCAAACCCTTATTCTAACTATTAAGGACCCTCCTAGAGTCGAACGCCAGGGCCATGGTTGACATTGAGTGCAGCGGTTTTTTTACCCGAGCCACAGAAAGCAAAACCCTTTCAAAATCTGGTGGGATTGTGTACGGTAGGGGCCGCTGACTATTTGGGGGGTTCCTTATTATACATATAGTATATTGGGCCCCCAAACCCTTTTCGAATTATTAAGGCCCCTATACCTGGCGGTTCATGGGTACGTAGCTATGAACGGGGTTGTTATAAGTAGGGTAGCTATACTTATAATCCATATCAACGGACTTATAGCCCCACTTGTAGATACCCATGCACCTCCAATGTTTAAGCAAGGCTACCAACTCAGCCCCTAAGGGTGTAGAAGCCAAGTTGCATTGTACTCGCAGGCGTCCAGGGGCGGTTGAAGTCGCGAGTTCAAGCCTCACGCACAGGGCTTAAATCGGATGCAACGTAAACTCATAATATTATATAGGATTATCATACCAGCTTATCTTACCTTAAATTCGACCATACTATCAAACTAATCATGCCTTCTTTTGTTCTGCTATGAGGACCGTGAGCGCCCCAGTACATGCTCTCGTTCTCACAGCATCCACAAACACATCCCCACGTCCCAGCCGAAGCCCCGACCCGGAAACTTCAAACCATTGTGGATGAGGTGACAGCAAGAAAACTAAGCCCAATGTAACGGAAGCAAGCATCGGCGACGGCTGTAAGCAGTAAGAGCAACTCTCGACCCTCGTAGAAACATGTGGCCCTAAACCCCCGACCCAAACCGCTGGAAACTCGACTAAAACCTGCAGCCGTTAGCCTAGCAACCACCTAACACTTCTTTAGCTCTTTATGCCCGTGATAAGCCGGTGAAAGTTGCAAAGTTCATGGTTTTGGGCGAGTAATATAGAGGCCTTCATAAGTAGAATAGGGTTTTGAGGTATATTATACGTACTTATTCATTATGATAAGAACCCCCCCCAAAAAAAAATAGTATAGGTAATTATTGAAGCCCCTATACTACTGTGTCGATGTGTCGACCAAAGAGCTTAGGACTTCGGGTCTGCCGGGCTCCTGAGGTTCAAAGCATGGTGGCTTTGGGCAGAGGCCGCTTCGCTGGAGCTAAGCTAAGGTTCAGGAGATTTTTGTTTTTTGGGGTCTAGGGTTTAGGGTGTAGGGACCCTCAACCCTAAACCCTAAACCCTAAAACCCTAACCCTAAGCCCCCCCGACCTTAACCACTAATGGCGCGGACGTAGAGCTGGGGCTCTGGCAAACCTCAATCGGTTCGCAGCCCGAGTAGAAACACTGTGCCTGCCCAAGCTCAAGGTTGCAATTCTAAACCTGTGCAGCTTAATGTAGGGGCCTTAATAACTAGAATAGGGTTTTGGGGGTTCCTTATTATAATTTTTTGTACAATATACCCCAAACCCTATTCTAATCATTAAGGCCTCTACATTAATCTAACATGTGCTGCAATACGGTTTAGGGTTTTGCTTAAATAGAGCTGATCTAAGGGTATTGATAAACAGAGTGGGATCCTTAAATGGACTACAACAGGGTTTGAAGATAAGGAGCGAGGATATCCCCAACCGAGAGGGACGAACTCCGGTAACCTCAGCGCTGGACTTTGGGAATCATGGCATGCCCCCCATCATTCAGCCAAGAACCCTGAATCCTAAACCTTAAACGCGAATGCAGGATCTTGTCCAACACCCGCAGACTGTCCGAGCATGCCCGAGCCAATGTAAGGGCCTTAATAATCAGAACAGGGTTTTGGGTTTTGGGGTATATTATACTCTAATCTTAATAAGGAACCCCCTAGTATGGGTAATTATTTAAGCCTCCATATTACTGACCGACAAACCCAACAACTCCGAGCCCCACCCTCCTGCACTAAGCAAAGCAATGCCCACATCGTAAGACACCCAGGCAAGAACTGCGTAAGACAAGCGCCATACAAGCCGTCCCAAACAGTAAAGCAATGATGAACTTTTCCAAAACCCACTAACGCTCTCTCAAGCGCCAAACTCTGCCGCCGAAAACTCCTGCAGCATAACTCTAATTCAGAAGACGCCTAAGCCAGCCCCTCAACAATCGAGGCTGTTAATCACTAAACCCTATTTAAGAAGAGCTCCGACCACGCACCGACTACACACCCTTACAAACCTCTCTAGAATCTTACAAACTCACAGAAACCTTTAGCAAACCTGTGTGGGAAGAAGTCTACACCCTGAACTTTTTGAGCTAAAGACGAATGCGTAACCCTAAACCCGAAGGATTCAAGAATCCTACATTCAAAAATCTGAAACCAGCCCCGACCTCACAGCCAACGCTGATGTTGCCCTCGCTGATGTTGCAGGTGACCATGGCATCCCCCCGGTGGTCGGGGGCACCTCAGGGCTTACAGTCTACATAAGCAAGTAAATAAACCAACCAACAAAATACATATCTGTAAGCTACATGGGTGAAGATTTACTAATCAAATATTATACTTGGAGACACCAAGTCGACAAACACAGTACCTGCTTACATACCTACCTACATACATACATGCATACATACATACATACATACATACATGCATGCATACATACACATACATACATACACACACATACATATACATGCATGCATGCATGCATGCATGCATGCATACATACATACACGTGCATACACACGTGCATACATAAACAATCATATGCATATATATATATATATACACACATTTCCTTTCATACAGCCATACAGGCATACATACATAGGCCCCTACAGAGCGCTGTAAAGGCGTAAGGCGTCTCTTGGTGTAACACACTCCGGAAACGTTCGCCGGGAGCCCCCAAACCCTATCCACTCTGAGCTCAACACAGATCCAGCCCTGGATGCTGTCCTCACCGGCTCTAAGGCAGCGGAGCTTGATTTTGAGTGTTTAGGGTTTACGCTGTTGAGGATTTTAGGGGTTTCGTGGGTGGGTGCAGTGGGTGGTGGTTTCGGCTTCCGGGGACCGCAGCTCCATGCTTCGGTTTTGCATGGCATCACACTGTTAAATCTCACATCCTCATGGCCTTATATGGAGGCCTTACACTCTCGCTCCCTCTTTCTCTCGCCTCTCTCTCTCTCTCTGTCTCTCGCTCGCTCTTACAAACACAACGTTACAAAGTGGACTGCGAAGACGTTAATGCTTTATCCCAGAAGCACGAAAAGACCAGAAACCGATCAGTGACACAGGGCGCGGCAAAGCTGGAATAAGGTTTTCGAGGTAAAAACCAGAAGGTTCTTTTGAAGCTTAAAACTATATCAGGAAACTGAAAGGTACACTATTCCTCCGGCGGGATATATACCTCCTCATGGAATCCAACTCCCGAGACTATTGATGCTTCAAGCACGATACACCCCAAGATCCAGGGCTTTAAGTGCAGTGCAACCTCAACTCCGCAACCTGATCCCCCTGTGAACCACTCCACAGCACAAACCCCAACCCACAAATCTACCGAAACCTACACCCTTCGCCCAAAAACGCAAGAACCCCGAAGCACTAGAAGACCTACAGAGATTCCATAGGAACCGACCCTTGCGTCCTTGATGTAGCCATCTTTGATTGGCAAGCCCAGGCGGGGACCTATAGCAACGGGTGCGATGGAGGTTCGTTTACGGGATAGAGAAAGGTTCACAGGTTTGTATAGTTGGAGGTTCATGGGTGGCCATAAGTCGGGAAAACAGTCCCCTAATATGGGTTGCGTATAGTTACCCTACTTATTACCTCATTTACAGCTACACATGAACCCCCAAGCAACCCTAAACACTAAACCCCTAAACCCTAAACCCGAAACCCTAAGGCCCTAAAGCCCTAAACCCTGAACCCCTGAACCCTAAACCCTCAACCTGAAACCCTCAGCCCTAATCCAAAAGGGTTCTGAAAGGCCCCGAAGCTTGGGTCCCAGTATCTCCAGAGAGGCCCGAACCTAAGCTCAGAGTCTGAGAATACAGTTTAGGGTTTAGGGCCTTTACGGTTTAGGGTTTAGGGTTTAAGGTTTAGGGTCTTTTAGGGTTTAGGGTTTAGGGTTTAGAGCCTCGCACACTGAAAGAGTTCAACGATATTCTGGGTATAGGTTTGCGCTTCAGGGTAAGTTCTACTGTTCCGAACTCCCAGCGTCGACGGACATCCATGTGCTGGACTCACTTCGGCCTGCTCGTATTTGTGCCAGCCCAGGGCAAATGTTGGGATTTCAGATTAGCTTGATTGGGTTGTAAGGACTAGCTCCGGAGGGCTCAGGATTGGCGAGCTTCGGGCACAAGTGTTGCAACTAACATGCCGAGACGACCACAAGTTCATCACAAAGACCAGAGAAGACACAGGATGCAACCCTGCACCCTGAAAATCCGAGACCCGGATCATGCCGAATTCTTACCCCTCATCCGTAATCGCGGCGATGGAGAATGAGCCGGCTGCATCTGAGCGTACATGTGGGCCGCGTCCACATCCTGGCAGAAGGCGCAAAAGCACTCGGAAGCTTGGTTTAGATTCTAAACCCTAAACCCTAAACACCAGGACTAAGGGTGTAGGGCCTCGGGCTTCTATGTCGCAAAGGGCTCTTACTAGCTAGGGTTGCAGGTTTAGGGTTTAGGGGTTTGGGGTTTTCGGGTTTAGGGGTTTAGGGTCTAGTAGCTAGTTCTAGCTTTCCAAGTCTGACTGTTCTTGCTATTATTGGTGCTGTCTCGTGATCACTACTCCTGCTATGCATCTCCGGGCTTTATGCAAGTGGATAGAAATTTAAGGGGCTACACCAACAAAGATACACAATGGATCACGTCCGAACATATACAAGTTCATAGGCACATAATGCCGTCCGTCGGTGCTGACTTTCAACTAAGCATCGACTTCCCTAGCAAGCATGAGCGTACCCTGGAACATATGCATCACATCTATGTATATGTGCATGTATATGTAATGTGTAATATATATATATATACTTATATATATATATATTTATTTATTTATTTATTTATTTATTTATTTATGCATTTATTTATTTAACTGTCTTTGTTACAAATACATACGAAAACAAGCAACCAACTTCAGCTTTAAACTGCTGCCAGCGTGACAAAGGCGTGTCCACATCGATGTTTCCTCGGCAGAGCAGGAGTACCCGACGAGTTGCTGAAGCCGGTCGCGCCAAAAAGGTTTAGGTTTAGGGTGTTTAGGGCTTTTTTAACCCTGTTGCTACCTATAGTCTCCGTTGTAGTTCCTTTTGGGGATACCTTATAAGATCCTTATTATATATTTGGCTAAACCAAAAAAAGGAACTACAATGGAGACTATAGATGAACCCCCAGGTACCTACTATATAGGGTACTAGAGCCCCTAGGGCCCTATATAGTAGGTACCTGGGGGGTTAGGATAGGGCTTTAGTTTTTTGCAGCTTGGACTTCTGCTGGATTCAGGGTCGGCTATGCCAGGCTGTTGATGCCGAACTTAGTTGGGCCGGCAGCCTCAGGTTCTTACTTGGAGGATCATGGGAGTTAGTAAGTAAGGTTATATGTCCCTTAATTGGGGTTATAAGTATAGTTACCGTAATTATAACCCTACTTACTAAGTCCCATGATCCTTGAAGTAGAGAGGACACTTGGAGGTTCATGGGTAGTGATAAATGGGGTGAAAAGTAGGGTAACTATACTTATAAGCCGTATTATGGGGACTTACAAGAGGGGCTATACCTACCCATGAACCTAAGATAAGAGGTTTGGCGGGGGTGGACGGCGAGGGCAGCACTGGGAGGCTTCGTTGGTTTGCAGGCTTTGGGAAGAAGGCGCAAACCCGAAACCTGGACGAGGCACACGCTCCCTGCAACGGCCTGCATGTAACAGTCCGAACGCCTTCTCTGGCTTAGCATAAACTGTACACAAATAGGGACTGCAAGCAGATGATCGTATTTAGACTTGCCTGCAACCCTAGGTTTGGAGTTCCCAAACCGTAATTAGGGTTTAGGGTGTTTTGGGTTTTTCCCTAAACCCTAAACGCTAGACCCCAAACCGTGGAAAAAAACCCTCCCAAACCCTAAACCCTAAACCCTAAACGGAGCCAAACCGAAACTTGCATTGTAAGAGGCCGAGGCTCTGGACCGCCCCCCCAAAAGCCTGCAACATGCAATCCGAGCCCCAGACCTGACCTTCGAAACCCAAAGGCTCTTCTAGATGGTTAAAGGTTCAGGGCTTTAGGGTTTTAGGGTTCAGGGTTTTGGGGTTTTAGCGTTGTAGGGCTTAGGGATAGTTTGGCCGAACTTACACGCTTCTGGGGATAGGTATGGACAAGTAGTCTGCAAGTTAGCGTGTCTTGTCGTGGAACAGACTCGATGTAACACTTAAGATTACGGCCCCAGCGTTTGTGGGAGCGGTGATCCTGTATTCTTTACGCGGGGGAACATGTCCGGAGACTGTAAACTGTAAACGACACCTCGCAAACGAAACCTGCAAGTTTGAAACCTAAGCCAAAAGGAACTCCCCCCCCCAAAAAAGGACTACTATGGGGCCTATGGGTAGGGATTAAGGTCACATCCCTCAACCCCGAATCCCCAAAGTTGAAGCTTGCCGCCACGCTGCCGGGAGGGCAAGTTCCAATGGTCGGCTCTCCGACGAAGGGTTCCTGGACATCTCTTTTTAAGGGGAGAAAGTCTGGGTGTTCTTTTGAAAGGTTTATATAGGGATTCCTTTAAAGGGGTTAAGGATTCTTTCTGAGGGTTTGGTTTTGCGGTTTAGGGCTTCGGGTTTAGGGATTCCGGAATTTACTGTAGGCTTTGTGGTTCAGTGTGGCTGTTGGGGCTTTTCATGGGGGTTTACAAGGCCGTGCCTTTGGAGGGTTTCGATTAAACATAGAGGTGCAGTATTGGAGGGCCAAAAGGACATCCCAAGCGTATACTTGCCAATATTTAAATAGACACTTTATGCATCTTCACCACACACCTAGTACAAAGCCTACCTTAGCAGATTCGGTCACAGACTTTAACAAGATTTAAGAGTCGCACCGGCTCGTGGAGCATTTGGTTTAAAACCTTGCCTTCGAACCTGAGTGTATGCAGAACTACTTGATCATTCCAGGCCTGCACAAACTTCGCAAGCTTTTTTGCTTCTACGTGCGCTGTGTGTGTCTTGGGTCACGACACATCAAATTCACATCTACCCTATGCCTCAACCCACCCATGTTGACGAACCTGCCATCTCCCTGCGGATCTAATGTCGGGCCTCCCATCTACAGTATTTCTCTGCTTCTCATCTCTTCAACGCGAGGTTCAGCCGCAAACCCCTAAATCGCTGAACCCGATGCCCTTCGACCCCAAAAAGTCCCGCGGACCCTAAATCACCCTGTAACAACTGTACTCTGAATTAGAAAGAAGAAGAAAAGAAAAAGAGAAAAAAAGAGAAGAAGAAGAAAAAAATAAAGAAAAAAAAAAAAAGAACAAAAAGAAGAGGAAAAAGGGAAAATCCTGTAACAACTGTACTCTGACTTAGACCTGTAGCCCTGATCCTATCCCCTCAAGCACCCCTCATATCACCCCTTTAGTCGTCAGCCTCAGCGCCAACCCTTATCGGACCCTCAACAGTATAAGCCTGAGAAAAGCCCTTAACGGAACCCTTACAGAATCCCTAAACCCTACACCCCTAAACCCTAAACCCTAAAACCCTAAACCCTAAAACCCTAAAGCCCTAAAACCCTACAACCCTAAACCCTAAACCCCAAACCCCTACAACCCTACACCCTAAAACCTCAACCCTAAACCCCTCCTTAAAGGAGCGCTTACAGGCTCTGCACTGGGCTCCCATCCTGACAGCGGATCTCGCAAGTCTTTCCCCCCAGCACGCTCCGACCTCGCCCCAGAAAGGCAAAGTCGGGCTTCTTTAAGGGTTTAGGGTGTAGGGTTTAGAGCTCGATCTTTAAGGGTTTTGGAAGGTTCTTTTGAGGTGTTGGCGGGGGGCTCTTTTGGATTTTTTGGAGCTCTTTTAGGGTCTATGAAGGGCTCGAGTTTGTGTTGAGGGTAGGGGTTGAGGGTTTAGAGTTTAAAGATTTGGGGTTCTGTAGGGTTTAGGTTTAAACTGAGCAAGTTTTCATAGGACCTGATTGGGAATTTCATAGTACGGAGCCTGGAGCCCAATCATGTGCCTTTACATCGTCCCACGCACCCTGATCTGCTACCCGTTCTCCCTGATAGAACTCTCCTGCTTGTGGACAACGGAATCTCATCTGAACACGCAGCAACGCCGCAGAGCACGTTGTGCGGCGCTCCCCAGTGCAGGCTTCAACACGCAGCACCAAATGCAGAGGGTCTTCCGCAACCCCTTCCAGAGCTGGCAAAACGTCTGTGGCCCCCTCGACCAACTCCGAAGAGTCACTGAACAGGAACCGCACGGTTCTGCCTGCAGCTATACGGAGGATCTTGCCCACTGCGTGCAACCGTCTGTCGCTTGCAAGCTGAAGCCCGGCACCGCCCCAGAGCGACCAATGACAGTGTCCAGCGCGTGTGCTTCTCCAGCCCGCTGCTGCATGGACCCCTGCCCGATGATTGAAAACAGGGTTTGATACGTGGCATCGTGGCTGCACACGATCCACTCCTGTTTGCCTGTGGCAGCATCAACGAGACGACCCCCGAAGAGATTGCACATACGGGAGGTCCATGACCTACTGCACAAATCTGTTCAGCAGGGATCGACGTTACGTTCACAGCAGGGAAAACTTACTGTGTTTGCATTTTGCGACCTACATTCATCTAAACTCACACAGATACGTGGCTGCGCCTAAATAATTACCTATATTATTTTGCGGGTTCCTTTTTAATTATAGTCTAATGGGCCCCAAAACCCTCTTCTAATTCTGAAGGCCCCTACATTCAGTACGGGCTTGTCAGGCCACGCGCCGTAAAGACCTTGTCAGTGTCGGGCTGAGGATCCAGGTCTTGCAGTGCAAGACTATGGGCCTAAACCCTAAACCCCAATGTAGGGGCCTTAATAATTAGAATAAGGTTTTGGGGGGGTTCCTTATTCCTTATTGAAACTTGTAGTATAATAGACCCAAAACCCTATTCTAATTATTAAGGCCCCCTACATTAACCCGCCACCCTAAGCAGAGAGTCACGCCTTATTCCTGTGGATTCATGTTGGGAGGATTGCCAGGTCCCAACTTTCTGATTCCACTATTAATGACTTCTTTGTTGCCAGGCTCGGCACACTGCGTAGACGCATGGTGCACTGGAACTGGGTAGTTTACTTGCAGGGATCGAAGCTAACTTTCAAGGTACGTACAGAAATTTAGAGGCTCCTGACTTAACCTTCCAAGGGCCCTTCCAACACAGAAAAGTCCCCATTTCCCCGGAGCCGAGTCAAATCCGAGACCAAAGCAATCCTAAACCGAAACTTAAAACCTCAAACCCTTAACCCTACGCCTTAAATCCAAAGTCCTAAGCCCTAAACAGCAATTTCCCGCACCAGCCGAGCTCATGGCAGTCTGACACATCGACATCGCCTCGGCCCCAAGCACCCCGGCTGCATAAGGCTGATTAAGTTTATCAGCGTGTTATAGGCTTTACTTGGAGGTTCATGGGTAGTTGTAAATGGGGCCATAAGTAGGGTAACTATACTTATAACTCATGTTAGGGGACTTATAACCCCACTTGTAACTATCCATGAACCTCCAAGTAGTACAGGGGCCTTATTAGAACTTACAGCATAATCGAATCATATAGGGACGATAGCGAGGGAATGCTCTTACTAATGCTCCAGACCTCTACATGTACCTTTGTGGGGCTTCAGGCATGCAGTGTAGGGATTTAGCTTCAGAGCTCACGGCTTAGGATCTTAATCAGGGCTTAAACTTTAGGGTTTCGGGCTTGGGGCTCCAAGCAGCCCCTTGTCAAACTCGGTCTCCGGAGCTCTGAAGACCATGATTTAAGTACCGGCAGGGGAGATCACAGCACCAAATACACCTTGCATCGACGCTAGCGGCCCGAAAAGACCCTTATCCTGTCTTAGAGGCCCTCAGACTATGGCACCGGAGGCTGAAGAACCAAAATACTTTGGGGCAGATTACCGTAAAGATCTGGCGTAAGTTTAAACCCTTAACCCCAAAAACCCACACCTGGATAGCCATTGAACGCTGTCCAGCACCGCAGGTAGCAGCCACGCTGAGGTTCCTGGATGCACAATCCTGTTTCGTGTAGTTCCCGGTCAATCCAACAGCTTCCTACATCCGAGCTCGTACCCCCTCACCTACACTTAGGGGTTTAGGGTCTCGGGGTTAGGGTTTAGGGTTTATAGGTCTACACCTATTCTAAATTGTGCAGACCCTAAAGTAGTCCCTCTGGCCCTAAACCTAAGTCCGAGACTGCGAAGCATCCTGACATCCCAGCATCAAGAAGCTCATGAGCCCATCTTGCTGGTAGGGTTTAGGGTTTAGGGTTCTGGTAGTCTTGCCACCTTTGCGAAAACAGGTCCCTAAACCCGAAGCCCTCAAACCCCTATCCCCAAATTCTGCATCCAAACTTTAAGGCCAAGCTGGTAAGTACAACACACACACTGGTGCGCCCAGGTGCATCCATCTGGGATGATGGGCAGGCATGGCTCGATTGGTACCTGAAGCGGGTCTTACGGGGGCTATAGGGTGTGCAATGCCTTTGACTTTGGGGTTTAGGGATTCGGGTGTGAAGCGATCACGGGTCAGTCCGACGGCATCACGAAGCTTACGAGAATTTGTACCTATGTCATCAGTATTTCTGGTCCTAAATGAGGCTTGACAAGATCCTTATGAAGATAGTTTGGGAGCAATTGACACCAGACCCTTCGAACTTTCTAGGTGTGTCCAATGCCACGACTAGGAACCATCCTGGCTCATCCTTTAAGCCAGTCCCGCTGGTGCATCTCTTCAGCTGTCCCCTCCCTGTGTTTTGTAGGATTTCGGAGGTGTGCAAGCCTCGCAATGTCTGCAACTGCCCGAACCCTAAGACATAATATAGGGGCCTTAACAATTAGAATTGGGTTTTGGGGGGTCCTTTATAATAAAATTCTATTCAGGACCCCCCTAAATAGTATTGTTCCTTTTTTAGGCTTCTATATTATGCTTCAAGCCTACAGAAGCTAAACGCACCCATTGCCTCCACAGCCAAAGACAGGACCTGCTACAATTTAGGTATCTTTTATGTACCGTAACGAACCGGCCCTTGAGGTATACTACAACACAGTATGTGTGCAAAAAAGAGCCCGAAGGGACCGCGACATATGGGTAGTTCTCTAAATTAGGGCCCCTTGTAGGGTCCCCTTTAGAAGGGTGCCGCAGTATATAGGGGACCCTAAAACGGGACCCTAACTTAGAGAACTACCCATATTGATTTGGGTAACTATTTCGACCCCACTTCGCAGTTCAAAAACCGTGTGCGGCCTCGCAGGACTAACTAGGCTTCTCTAGGCTTCTCGATACTATGGAGTTTAGGGTTTAGGGTTTAGAGTTTAGAGTTTAGGGTTTAGGGTTTAGGGTTTAGAGTTTACGATTTCCGTTTTAGGTCTGAAAGAGTTCAAAAATTTCAGTGCTCTAAGCCCTAAACCCTTAATTCGAAAGCCCTAAAGCCCTAAACCCTAAACCCTCATTAACCCTTGATCCGAAAGCCCTAAACCCTAAAACCTAAACCGCTGTAAGGGTCCTAAAAGGGTACCATACCGGGGCTCTCCTGCTCTGGTTCCGCGCCTCTCCCTATGGGCTTCTGGCATGGGGTTTAGGGGTCTAGGGGTTCAG